TGTGGATCAAGACGATTCTTATTATAATACGCCTGATTAGCTTGTTGTTGAAATAATATATTTTCACGCGAAGCCTGATGAAATATACGCAACGTCTTTTTTAGTTGTTCAAAATAATCATTAGGCTTGGGAAAGGTAAATTCTGTAGGTTGTATATGAATAGGTAGACGAGCAGTACGACCGTATAGTAACTCATAGGGAGAAAATTTCGTGGACTTATGTACTCCTGTATTATAAGCAAAGACAACGGCTTGCAAGTACTCATCCCAATTGTTATGTTGAGCATTTTGTAACTTTGAAATCTGAGTTACAAAAGTAGCATTAAAACGCTCTACGATACCATTTGTTTGGGGATGGTATGGAGTACTATATATATGATTGTATCCTATGAGATGTTGTAGATTCTCCATTAACTTATTTTGAAAATGTGTTCCACGATCGCTTAAGATAACTGACGGTATACCAAACTTGCAAAAACAATCATCGAATAAGGCGCGCGCTGCAGTTTCTGCTGTGCAGTTTGGAAGTGCTAATGCTGTTATATGTCTCGTAAAATAATCTGTAATAATAAGCACATATTGATTTTCACTAGGAGTCCTAGGTAATGGTCCACAAAAATCAATGCCTATTAGAGCGAATGGTCCTTCAGGTGGTGGAATAGAACGTAAGTGACCATATCTTTTAGCACGATCTATATTAAATTGCGTGCATAAACTACAAGACTTTACGTAGCGTTGTATAGTGACTTTCATACTGGGCCACCAAAAATGAGGACGAATTTTATAGTACATACGATCTGTAGAAAAGTGAGCGCCTGTCAATGGATCATCGTGACATGCTTTCAATAGAGAATTTATCATTGATGATGGTAAATATAACGCTTTAATGATTCGATTAGAAATATTCTGAGAACTGATTAATTTGTACAGTTTATTATTTTCTAAGATAAATGAACTTTGACTCGATATAGTAGATAAATTTTTTATTATGTTCTGTATCTTAGGATCTCGAGCTTGTTCCACTTGTAACTTAGTTATATCGAAAAAATTTTGTGAAAGTGTAGATGTTAGTTTGGTTTTTTCTTTTGTGTCTAGAATCTGTTGTATCTATATAATCATGATGATTATTCACGTTATTTCCATCAGAAATATGTTGTTCTGTATAATAAACTCGATTTTTACGTGGTCTTAGAGTCATGGCTGCTAAAACATTCGGATTAGTAGAAGAAACTGTTGAATCTGATGTTAAGTTCTTAGTATCATTATCAGATGTAGCTGATGATAAGATCGAACGAGATTTACTAGCTAAGCCATATTCAATATCGAATATATCATCAAATTGTTCTTTTGAGTAACGTGAAAGATAATCAGGGAGACAATTGTACTGACCGCGAATATGAACGACTTTATCGATATTATATTCTTGGATCAAGTGCGTTATTCGATTCACCCTATTATTCTTAATAGACTTTTGCATTATATAACATAAGGGACAATGATCAGTCATAATGATAATATTTCTCCCTAATACAAAAGAACGCATACGATCCAAACACTTATAGATAGCCAACGCTTCTTTCTCGATCGTACTATATTTTCTTTGACATGGTGTAATAACTTGAGAATGATAGTATAGATTACGGAGTTGCCCATTGACTTCTTGCTGTAAAACACCACCTATTCCGATATCACTAGCGTCTGTAGTTAATACTACAGGTAAATCATCTATAGGAAAATGTAAAAATAAAGGTTCGGTGGTAAGCATCTCTTTAAGTTGGTGAAAGGCTTTTGATTGAGCAGTTTGCCACTTAAATTTTCGTCGGTTAGGCCTCGTAAGATTGGTAACAGTATGTATGGGTGCTGCTACTTCGGCAAATTTTGGTAGAAATTTTCTATACCATCCTAAAGACCCTAGAAAACGATTCGCTTGAGCTAAAGTACGCGGTTCTTGTATTTGCAAAATAGCTTCTATCTTATCTTTCACTGGTTTGATAGAATTTTTATTGATAGTATGACCTAAGTAATTAATTTGATGAACG